TTTTTGCCTAATTCAAGGACTTTTCCTCCTGTGTTTCCTTATAGAATTCTTACAGTTTCAGAGCTGGGTTATTTCGTTTCCAGGTGATTATGGATTTTCCAGTTATCTTTCTGTTATTGACTTCTAATTTAATTCCAACTGTGGTCAGAGGACATAGTATAAACCCAGCCTTTTTAAGTTTATTGAAACTTGTTTGATAGATTGTAATAGGGCCCATCTTGTGAAATATTTCATCTGCTCTTGAAAACAATGTCTATTCAGCTGCGTGGGTGGTGTATTCTATCAATTGTCAATTAGGTCAAGCTGGTTGGTAGTGCTGGTAAGGTAGGCTGTGTCCTTACTTATTTCTGTCCACTTGCTCTATCTATTATTGAGAAAGGGATGTTGAAATCTCTTGACTATTTTTGAGGATTTGTTCATTTCTCCTTGCAGTTTCATCATTCTTTTTCCATGTATTTTGAAACTCTTATTAGGTACATAAACATTTAGTGTTGTTATGTTTTATTTATGATCGAACCTTTTATCATTACGAAGTTACCATCCTCATCCCCGGCAATACTCTTGGCTCTGAGCCTGCTCTGTGTAGTATTAATATAGCCACTCCGGGTTTCTTTGGATTGGCATTAGCGTGAGACATCTTTTTCCATCCTTTATCTTTTAGTATATCTGAGTATTTACATTTAAAATGGGTTACTGGTAGGCAGCATATAGTCATGGAACTAAATATTGCTTTTTATCTCATTTGACAACCTCTGCTTTCTCGTTGGGGTGTTTAGACCACAGATTGGCAGACAACAGCGTGCCAGCCAAATCTGGCATGCAGCCTGTTTTTGAACCAAGAATAGTTTCTACATTTTTAAAGGGCTTATGTAAAAAGGATCAAAAAGAGCATATGATACAAATCGTATGTGGCCCAAAAAGCTTACCATGTTTTCTATGTGGTCCTTACAGAGAAAGGGTGCCAGCCCCCCGTGTAGGCTGTGTTTAAGTCTACCATGTTGTTACTTGTTTTCTCTGTCTCGTCTGTTCTTTTTCCACCTGTTTTCCTCTTCTCCTGCCTTCTTTTGCATTATTTCTATTTCTTTTTTATCTCCTCGGCTAGTTAATTAGCTGTCGCTCTTTGTTGTGTTACTTTAGTGGTTGCCTTAGGGTTTATAGTGTACACCTTATCACAGTCTGCCACTACGTACACTAGAAGAACCCACAACCGTATCCCTCCGCTTCTCCCCACTGCCCCCGCTGTGGTCACTGTCCTACAGTTCACTTAGGTTAAACCACCCAGTACATTGTCATTGTTCGTGCTTTAAATCAGTTATCTTCTTACCTATTTACAGTTCAGCATGCAGGTGTTCGAATGGCCTCTGAGTTACCATTTCTTTGTGTAGATCTAGGTTTCCACCTGGTATCATTGATCTCCTGCTTGAAGATCTTCCTTTAGTGTATTTTATAAGGCAGGTCGGCTATACTGTGTTTTTCCTTTTTTTCAGCTTTCTTGAGGTATAAGTGAAAAATAAAAGATATATATATTTCAGGTGCACAACTCAGTGTTTTGGTATACACATGCATTGTGAAATGATCACCACAATCAGACTAACGAACACATTCACCCCCTCACACAGTTACCATTTTCTTTCTTTTTTGGGGGGGTGGTGTTGGTAAGAATATTGAAGATCTACCCTCTTAGCAAATTTCAAGTATACAATATAATAGTGTTAACTACAATCACCGTGTTGTATATTACATCGCTAGGACTTGTTCATCTCACATACCTGAAACTATATACCCTTTGGCCCACATCTCCCCATTTCCCCCTCCCTCCAGCCCCTGGCAACCACCAGTCTACTCTTGGCTGCTTAGTTCGACTATTTTAGATTCCACATATAAGTGAGATCTCCCAGCATTTGCCTCTCTGTGTCTGGCTTATTTCACTTAGCATAGTTTCATTTAGGTCCATTCATGTTGTCACAAATGACAAGGTTTCCTTTTTTTTTTTTTTTTTTTTTTTTTTTTAGGCTGGATAATATTCCAGTGTATATGTGTGTGTGCATCTTCTTGTGATGAATTCTTTCAGCTTATGTGTGTCTGAAAATGTCTTTTATCTTTATTTTTTTGAGAGATATTTTTGCTTGGTATAAAATTTAGGTTGGCAATGTTTCCCCCACCACCATCACCCACCCCATAAAATATTTCTTTTTTCCCTCTCTGCTATTAAGATTTTCTCTTTACCACTGGTTTTCAGGGATTCACTGGTATAGTCTACTTCATGTTTCTTGTGTTGGGGTTCTTTGAACCTCTTGGATCTGTGGTTTATAGTCTCCATCAAATTTAGAAAAATTATATTAGATCTTCGAGTATTTTTTTCTCCTCACCCCCTTCTTTCATTTGGATAGTCTAATTGCATGGATATTCAGTCCCTCTAAGTAGTCCCACATGCTACTGAGCTTCTCTAAATGTTTTGCTCCTCTGTATTTCATTTTGGATAGCTCCTGTTATGTTTTCAAGTTCACCAGTCTTGTTTTCTGCAGTGTATAATCTGCTGTTAATACTGCGCAGTGTGTTTTTATCTCGCACATTGCAGTTTTTATCTCTAGAAGTTTGATTTAGGTCTTTTCTAAAAATAGCTAGTGTCAGCATTGAGTTGAATCCATAGACGGTGCAAGAATTGCTTACTGGTGTTGGAACCACTCCCTCCGCACATTGAAAATGGACTCAGGAACCCAAAAGAGTGCTCAGTACTTTTGTATCTTGACAAATGTTCCTGAGATTTGTTCTTGATCAGTTACGTTACTTAAAAAGCATTGATCCTGCCCTGTCTTGCCTTTGAGCATCATGCGATGCTATGAGAGCGGTGTTTAATCTATGGTTAATTTTTCCTGTGACAGACAAAGGACTCAGTGCTCTCAGGGATACCCTGTGAGTTGGGTTTGCTCTTTCTCTTGCTCTCTGGGAAAGAGAGTGAACAGGAAACAGTTGGCAGTAGGCACTCTTCTCAGCCCTATGTGAGCCCCAAGCACTGTGTCTTCTAATCCCCTCCAGTGGTTCTTGCCCTGGGCGTCACTCTTTTTTTTGGTCCGCACCCAGATGAAGGCCCCTGAGAAGTGTGGCATGTCCTTCGGCGCAGCTGCCCTCTGTCCTTGACTCTCCCTGCAAACTCTACCAGCTTCGTCCACCTGTCTCCCCAGCGCGGGGAGCTCTGCTGGCTTCTGCCCATGTCTCTGTTCCCTGCACCACAACCCCGAAACTTTCCCGAGTCAGCTGAGCGACTGTCCTCGCTGCATCTGTCTCCCGCCTCTCAGGACTTAACTGTCACTCCTCGCCCAGCTTCCAAGATCTCCAGTATTTTCTTTCCATACACTTTGTCCAGTTTCTGAGTTATTTCAGGTGGAAGGGTAATTCTGGTCCCTCCTACTCCGTTTTGTCTGGAAACAAGTGATTTCAGGTCATTTTACGTTCTTTATGCCTTCCTGGATTAGGGTCTTCGCACTATGCATGCTCCACTCTCATAATTGCATGTGTTAAAGCATCTCTATTTATAAAGCAAATAAATGTTTTAAAAGACAGATGACCTACTGTGAAAAGACATTTGCAACTGCCTCCCCGGTGAGAGCCTCGTCTAAGTGTCGGCCAGCAGAAGCCACGGGATTGGTTTTACCCGGCTTTCTCTTTGTTCACCACTCGTCATGAACCCGATGGTGCACTCATTTACCACTCTCGATTCTGGGTCCTCCGTACGCTGTCCATGTGACTGGCATAGTACCAGTGTGGGGTGGAGAAGGAGCACCTGGGCCAGTCTGACCCAGGTGGTCATGGACTCCATGAAGAGTGTGGGTCAGGCTGAAGCAAGGACACTGCCCATTGTAGAGGTTTTGTGGCTGTTGAATATACTCTTTTAAGTACTTCTGTCTTCAAGTATAGTTGACACAATATTATATTAGCTTTAGGTATACAACACAGTGATTTGACGTCTACATACCTCAGCACATTACGTCTAGCGATCCTCTGTCACCATGCAAGCATCACAGTATTCACTCACTATATCCCCCTTCACCTTTTTCGCCCATTCCTCTGCCCTCATCCCCTCTGGCAAGCACCACTTCAATCTCTGTTTTTTTAGTCTGTTTGGAGGCTTTTTGGTTTGATTTTTGTTTTGTTTCATTTTGTGGGTTTTTTTAGATTCCACAGATGAGTGAAACCATACAGTATTTGTCTTTCTCTGTCTGACTTATGTCACTTCGCGTAATACCCTTTGGGTCCACCCATGTTGTCATGAATGGCAAGATTACGTTTTTTGTTTGTTTGTTTGTTCCTTGTAGTATTTCATTGTACATATGTACCATGTTTTTGTCAATTCATTTATGAATGACACCCAGGTGTCTTCCATGTCTTGGCTGTCATAAATAATGCCGTATGAACACAGGTGTGCATATGTCTTTTCGAATTAGTGTTTGTCTTTGGAGAACTACTCAGAAGTGGAATTGCTGGGTTGTATGGTGCAGCCATTATGAAAAAGCAGTGTAGCGATTCCTCTAAAAACTAAAAGTAAAACTATCACATTGTAGAATTAGGGTCCTCCAGAGCATGGACCCAGGTGACCCCACCGGGGAGGTCCCCAGGACGCAGGCGGGTTCAGCTGAGCTTTCGGCTGTGGGTACTGCTGCTCTCTTCCTTTCTCACAACCAACCAACCCAGCTGGGCCTGCCAGGCACGAACCGATGCTCTCGCCTGCCCTCCGTGGCATGCCTGGTGCTTCCCTGGTGCCCTTCTACCAGGCGGTTTCCACACCTGAACCTTGAAACCTGCTGTCATTCCAGTCCCAGGGGATGGACCCCTGAAGGCACGCTGCCACTGAGACTTCCCCAGGGCTCGCCCAGGTGCCTGAGCCATTGTGCCTGGTGCCACGTGGCTGTGGCTTGATAAAGCGTGGGGTTATCTCTTTTGTCGTATGTTAGTGAAGGACTGCTCATCTCACAGCTGTGCGTTTCCCCCTTCTGTCTCCTCAGAAATTGCAGGTACCCCGGTGTCTGAAATTTCTGGGCCTTTCTCAACAGACGACATAGCCAGCAACTGTGTCCCCACCCTGCCTTTGAACGAGCCCATCTTGTGGATCGTCTCCTATACTCTCATGAGTGTGTGTGGAATCATCCTTCTCACCTTAATCATCCTGCTACTCCTCCCGGTCCGGTGTCGGCACGGCCCCCGGGACCCCGAAGTTGTTAACGATGAGTCCTCCCTGGTCCGGCATCGCTGGAAATGAAGAGCAAAGCCTGAACTCCAGCAACCTTGAACTCAGCTCCTAAGAGAATTAAGTCCTAAGTGCAGCAGGCAGGGGGCGCCCGGCCAGGGTGCTCCCCGTGTCCATTACTCTTAAATCTCTCTTCTGCTCCCAGATGCCTTCCAGATTCACTGTATTTTGATTCTTGATTTCTTAGCATCCTTCTTCCGAGAAAAATGATAATAAAACCACCTCAATCTAAACCAAAACAGAGTGCATTGGGCTTCAGACCATGTGACTGGCATACCACACCGTCTTGTCGTGCCTCGAAACCAAAAGCAAGCCGTGGCTGGCACGCCGCGCTCCGCTCCCATCTCTGGAGAAGGGAGGGCATATAGTCCATCTCTCCTCTCGACTCCCGGGAAGCTTGGCACCCGTTGCACTTAAGGGTGTTCTGCACCAGGCGTCCACCAGGGTCCGAGGGGTCCAAGGCTCACAACACGATGGCAGGAGAAGCAGCCTGGGGCCTGATGATAGAACCAGCCGCCCTTCTGAGTCGGAGACAGCAGCAGGCCCCTTTTCTGGGCCTTTCTGGGCCCTGAGTGGAGATCGGCACCCAGTGGTCCTCACCAGCCCCTCTGAAGATGCCAGGCCTTCGCCCATCAGTGCTTCCATAGTGTTGCTGGCGTGAAGGTCAAAGACAGACGCTATCTCCACCGAGACTCCGCCCAGGGTCCTACCCCAGGTGGGGGTGCAGGAAGCTGGTTCCAGCCGTCGCCCTGTCCTGAAAGAACCTTCCTGCCAGCAGGCCGGCGGCTGGCTCTGAACCGCACGTGCGTCGGGAGCTTCCGCCACCACGCCGGGCTCTAGCTCATACGCTCATCTTAAAGTCAGTAAACAGCGTTTCAGTGAGAGAAACACAGTCCATGTCACGGGCTTAGTGGTTCCTTTGCCCAAACCTTCTACCAAGGTAGGTTGATGGTTACCCTTTTGAGAAGTAGGAAACGGCTAAATGCCTGCACTTCTGACCGGCTCTCAGGGGAAGGAAGACGCAAGACATGCCAAGGACTTGAGGGACCTTCTGGTTATTCCTGTGCTTGGAAACCACGTGTTGCCGTTGGCAGAACCCCTTGGACTCCAGCACACCCGCCTGCATCCGCTTAAACCAACCGGCTGAGCGGGTGGCCCACATGCTCGCCCCTTGGGCGCGTTCTGTCCTTGGTGCCCCGCTGGGTGTGCAGGGGTGTCTTTATTTGGGGAAATCCCCTCTTGCTATCATTTGAGGCCTTTGCCAAAGAAAAGCAAAAAACCTGTAACTCGAAATAATCAGCCTTACATGATCTGATGTAACTGGGAGAAGGGTTCAAGGCCAGCGTCCCTTCTCTCTTGTCTGTGTGCCAAGTTCAATGTTCACTCTGCATTGCTACTGCGGTGAGTTGGATGTATAATAAAATCCCACTGGAAGGGCTAACTGTGGAGGATCTCCTCTGGCTGGAGTGTTATTTGTGTTTGAAATAGGCTACGTGTGGGTTATCAGCCACCAGCTCTGCTCACTGGATCCCAGGGTCACCTCCCTATTTAGAAATATATGCCAGTGCCGAAGAGATGGGAGGTCGCTTACTGCCTGTCACGGTGGCCTTGCAGACCAGCTCTCACAGGTACTTGTGCGGAGAAACGTGACTTTTCTGTGTTATTCTCACCCCAGTTCAAGCACGGCAGGAATGAGCCTCTTAGGAGGGGATGGTGGGATAAAACTCATCTGATCGTTATCAGATGCTCACCATCACGTCTGGTCTCAGCTAGTTAATACAGGTAAGATACATTTCAGAGTTAGAACTCTCTGGAAGCCTAATCCTCTTCTTGCCTTATTGGCCTTCTCCCGGGCAGCTGTTTTGTGGGCCACTTTGCCTAGAAGGGAAGGCCGCGCCCCTCCATGGCACCTTCCCCTTGCTTCGAAAGCCTGAACCCCTGAAGTAAGGAGAGAGTTGCCGATGTGACCCGGTTAGTTTTGCTTCCTGTGTCTTCGGGCAGGTGTCCTCCGTGCCATTTCCCTCGTTAGGTGTCTGAGCTCAGAATATTTCTATTGCAGCCCATTAGCAGACACCCTTCCCGGCGTACGTGATAAGAGCAAATTAGATTTCAAGCTGGGGTGTGTGAATGAAGTGTGCTGTAATTCTCTGTATTTCGTCTCACGTTTCTCTGCCTTTTCATCTCTGGTGTCATTGGATGTGACATTTTAATGGGAATACTTAAATTACAAAAGCCTAATTTAGCACCGAGAATGAAATAGACAATTGGACGCGGGACATTTTCTTGGCATAGCTTGCCGCCGAAAATTGGACCCTGAGTCAAAACCCGGTGAGTGGCTCCCACCTCCTCCCGTTACGTAAATTGAGACTTGGCTCAGGACACCTTCAAGGAGCTTGTTTTGAGCAGGAAAGGAAGTAGCAGCCGTTTGAGGGTGTCATTCTTAGCTGGTGGCACACTGAGAAATGCTGGGAGATGGTTCTTGCCTGAAAAACTGCAGCTTAGCATGAGGCTGTTGTCAGACCCTTGCCAGCTCTCTGATGGGCAGTGGCTGCTTCTACGGGAACAATGCTCTGTAATCCCGATGAAGTATTTGGAAGCCTGAAACGAAAGCCTGTCTTCCGCAGCTGAAACTGTTTATGAAATAGGACAGGCCCATTCTTTCCTCGGGAATTGGAAAGCACGACAAGTGGTAGCTCGGGGTCACCTGGCACATCCGTGCACTCTTTTGTATTCCCTCTGAACCTGCAACAAGTGCGCAGCGTGCAAGATCCCTGCGTGTGGCAGCCTGGGTTTTCTGAACGCAGTCCGCCCCCTAACATCGGGAAGGGTTTTACCTGATGCATCGTGAAATGCGGAGGTTTCGGCTGGAGATCAGTGTGGGGTTAACTAACTGTGGTTCCAAATTATGAAAGTAGCTCCCAGCGATGCATCACTCACTCCGTGCAGCTCCGGGTCCTGGATTTTACAAAGCAGTGGTGATTGCATTATCTCATCTAAGGTGAGGAAGGAGTGTTGCATTATTTAATAGTTCCCTGGGAGGGTGGGAATTTGTTAATTTCCCCTGTCTGGGCCCCCACGTGGCGGAGCTGCCAAGCCCGGTTCTCTTCTCAGCTCTGGCCTCGTGCCACGTGATGTCACTGGGAATAAATCACCTCCCCGAGGCCCGCTTCATCAACAACAATAATCTAGTTTCACAGACTTGATCCTCATTAAGGGAAACCAGATAATTGCCTGGGATCGCAGTGTGCTTGTGCAAACTTATCACAATTGATGACAGAACTGCCACGAAGAGAATTTTTATTTTTTTAGGGAAAAAAAACCTAACCACCATAAAATACAAAATTACAGTTTTGCCAAGAAAGATACTAGATGTTTAGTGCCAAGGAAACTGCACGCGGCAGAACTTACTGTGCGCGTTTCTGTTGGGTCGTGAGAATGTCACATTCAAACTCATGGCTGTTTACCAATTACACAGCAAAGGGGAAAAGACATGCTGAGAGTGGGGAAGGGAAATTTAAAAATAATCAACAGTATGGAACAAAATAAGCAGAACTGGCTTTTTTAAAAAAGTAGCTTCAATTCCAGGAACCCACGGATGTCTTTTACCCTTAAAGTTGCTGAATCGATTGGAGGTGCAAATTGTTTTCTACAGCCGCCAACCCCAAACATCAGGAATATTCCAGCGGGGGTCGCGTGCCCCGTGTCGGCATGGGCAGTGAGAAAGTGGACCCTTGCACTGCGCATGGCCCGGGCCAGGTGCTGAGCATCCCCAGGTGACTCTAGGGAGCGCAGACATGCTTCTGGCCTTGGGCAAGGCCCTGGGTCAGCGTGATTGCCATCATGGGCGGGTAGAGACAGCCTGCTGTGGTTGTCGGCCACATCCGTGGAGTGTGGAAGTGAGAGCAGAGCCAGGCCTGCTAGTGACATCAGAATGTCTGCCAAACCTCTAGGTCCGTCAGCTACTGGAACTAAATACAGGGTGGGGCAAAAGTAGGTTTACAGTTGTTCATATGGGAAAATAATACAACCCTATCTAAAAAAAGAGAAACATGGTAATTAGCGTATGACTGCTACCCTTCCCATTGGCTAATCAGCGAGATATGCAAATTAACTGCCAGCCAAGATGGTGGCCGGCAGCCAGGCAGCTGGAAGCTAACATGAGGCTTGCTTGCTTCAGTGACGGAGGAAACCAACGTTCCCCGCCTGCCTTGCTGGCCTCTGAGCTTGCAGTTTGAAACATTGCAACAAATATAGAAGCTAAACAAAACCCCAGAAACCCGCTTTCAGCAGCCGGGATCTCAGAGCTGGAGTTATACATTGTTTCAAGAAACCCAAACAAACCAGATACCTGTTTTCAGCAGCAGAGGCCTCAGGGCTGGAGCCAGAGCTAAAGCTGGCCCAGAATAAAAAAGAAAAAAAGGAGCAGTGGGAGCTTCAGTCACCTGCCAGCCTGAAAACAGCCCTCAGCCCCTCACCCAGACTGGCCAGGCACCCCAGTGGGGACCCCCACCCTGAAGGGTGTGTGACCAGCTGCAAACAGCCATCATCCCCTCACCCAGGCTGGCCAGGCACCCCAGTGGGGACCCCCACCCTGAAGGGTGTGTGACCAGCTGCAAACAGCCATCATCCCCTCATCCAGGCTGGCCAGGCACCCCAGTGGGGACCCCGACACTGATCCAGGACACCCTTCAGGGCAAACCAGCCAGCCCCACCCATGCACCAGGCCTCTGTCCTATATAGTAAAAGGGTAATATGCCTCCCAGCACTGGGATCAGCGTGACAGGGGAAGGCGCCCCAACCCCCTGATCAGCCCTGCTCTGTGCCTGATAGGGGGGAGCTCCCCAACCCCCTGATCGCCCTGTGGCTCTGTGTGTGACAGGGTGTGGTGCCCCAACCCCCTGATCGGCCCTGCTCTGTGTGTGACGGGGTAGAGCCATAACCTCCCCATCGGCCCTGCCCTGAGTGTGAGAGTGGCAGCGCCCCAACCCCCTGATTGGCCCTGCTCTGTGGGTGATAGAGGGCGGTGCCGCAACCCCCTGATTGGCCCTGCTCTGTGGGTGATAGAGGGCGGCGCCCCAAACCCCCCCCACACACACACACAGGCCCTGCTCTGTGTGTGATGGGGTAGAGCCATAACCTCCCCATCGGCCCTGCCCTGAGTGTGACAGTGGCAGTGCCCCAACCCCCTGATTGGCCCTGCTCTGTGGGTGATAGAGGGCAGCGCCCCAACCCCCTGATGGGCCCTGCTCTGTGCATGACGGGGCAGCGCCCCAAACCCCTGATGGGCCCTGCTCTGTGCATGACAAGGGGCAGTGCCCCAACCCCCTGATGGGCCCTGCTCTGTGCGTGATGGGGGATGGCGCCGCAACCTCCCCATCGACCCTGCCTTGAGTGTGACAGGGGGCGGTGCCCCAACCCCCCAATTGGCCCTACCCTGAGCGTGACAGAGGGTGGCGCCGCAACCTCCCGATCTGCCCTGCTCTGTGCATGACAGGGGGCGGCGCCCCAACTCCCTAATCGGCCCTGCTCTGAGCCCGACCAGGGGCTGCACTTAGGGATTGGGCCTGCCCTCTGCCACCCGGGAGCAGGCCTAAGCCAGCAGGGCGTTATCTCCTGAGGGGTCCCAGACTGCGAGAGGGCACAGGCTGGGCTGAGTGACCCCCCCTCCCCCCCGAGTGCACAAATTTTTGTGCACCAGGCCTCTAGTACTATATAATAAAAGGCTAATATGCAAATTGACCAAACAGCAGAACAACCGATCGCTGTGATGTGCACTGACCACCAGAGGGCAGATGCTCAACACAGGAGCTGCCCCCTGGTGGTCAGTGTGCTCCCACAGCGGGAGTGCCACTCAGCCAGAAGCCCTGAGCTGGGCTCATGGCTGGCAAGCACAGCGGCGATGGCGGGAGCCTCTCCTGCCTCCGTGGCAGCGCTAAGGTTGTCCGGCTGATGGACATCCCCAGAGGGCTCCTGGACTGTGAGAGGGCACAGGCTGGGCTGAGGGACTCCCCCCCACCACCCCAAGCACACAAATTTTGTGCACCGGGCCTCTAGTTGGTAAATAATAATACAAGACTGAACTGTGCTTTGGGGACTCACAGCTATAAACCTACTTTTGCCCAGCCCTGGATGGGTGAGGACACCAGCTGCAACCAATCAATACAGTGTTTTCTTCTCTACCCCCAAACTTTCTCTTGTTTCTTATGATCAGATATTATTATATGCAGATGGCCAGTGTTTCTAAACTACATCGTCCTGTGTGATTTCACAGCACGCTTACTCTGAACGAGTGTGGGTCAGCTCGGGCTGGGCCAAGAGGCACGGGAAGGTCCCTGATAAACTCAGACCCAGCCCAGGAGAGAGTGACTCCGGACACTTGGTCTCTGATGTCCCAGGGCGGTCTGGCCCCTCGATACCTGCTGGATGGAGTTTGCGGTGCCTACGAA